TTACAAGGAGAAGTTGAGGGAACTGGGCTTGTTTAGTCTGCAGAAGAGAAGAGTGAGGGGGGATTTGCTAGCAGCTTTCAACTACCGTGAAGGGGGGTTCCAAAGAGGATGGAGCTCGGCTGTTCTCAGTGGTGGCAGATGACAGAACAAGGAGTAATGGTCTCAAGTTGCAGTGGGGGAGGTCTAGGTTGGATATTAGGAAACATTATTTCACTAGGAGGGTGGTGAAGCACTGGAATGGGTTACCTAGGGAGGTGGTGGAATCTCCATCCTTAGAGGTTTTTAAGGCTTGGCTTGACAAAGCCCTGGCTTGGATGATTTAGTTGGTGTTGGTCCTGCTTTGAGCAGGGGGTTGGACTAGATGACCTCCTGAGGTCTCTTCCAACCCTGATATTCTATGATTCTATGACTTTCCTCTAGACCAGTGATACTCAGATTGCGGCTCACAAGTGGTTCTTTATGTGTCTCCTGTGGCACTTTTAAGCACATGATATTAAAACACTGTGATTTAATTATTAACCAGTCCAATCTATTAACCAGTCAGGATGCTTTTACTTTGTGATTAACCATTTAACTTATCTACTTGCACTAAGTTATTAACTTATTTGCTGTAAGAAATAGATAGATAGATAGATAGATAGATAGATAGATAGATTAAATATTTCCACTGCCATACTGTTTAAATATGAATAGTACTATTGTAAATGAAACAATGAATTTGTACAACTGTGGCTCTTTTAAGTAATATCGATCACTAATTTGGCTCGTGAACCACTGAGGTCTGAGTCTCACTGCTGTAGACTACATCCCCTTAGTTTGCTTATGGAAATGTCACGTGGGAGTTTGTCAAAAGCCTTGTTAAAATCAAGCTCTATTTTGTCTACAGTTTCCCCCATCCATTAGGCCAATAATCCTTTCAAAGAAGGAAATTAGGCTTATTTGGCATGATTTTTTTCTTCACAAATCCATGCTGGCTATTCTTTATAATCCTGCTATTCTCCAGGTGCTTACAAATTGATTGTTTAATAATTTCTTTCAGTATCTCGCCAAGTATCGAAGTTTGGCTGACTGGTCTTAAATTCCCCCGGCTCTCTTTGTTCCCCTAGTAAAGATAGGTGTATGAATGCATGATGCTGAAGCTGCTTGGACAGACTAAAAACAATATAAAGCCTTAAAAGTAGGAATGAGCCCCTTGCATACCGCCATACGACAGGAGCCTTAATGCGCGTGAGAATCAGTCTCCAGCTAAAATGTAAAATAATCAGGGAACTACACATAGGGGATGCAATTAGTAGGGCAACAGATAGACAAACACCTGGCTGGCAGAGAGACCTAGACACTACACTTATTCAGTGCCCAGTTGTCAAAAATTGGCAACAACTGGTAAAATGTCTCTATGACTTAGCAAGGGAAACTCAGCTACAAATTTCAGAGTAGCAGCCGTGTTAGTATGTATCTGCAAAAAGAACAGGAGTACGTGTGGCACCTTAGAGACTAACAAATTGATTAGAGCATAAGCTTTCGTGGGCTACAGCCCACTTCTTCGGATGCATATAGAGTGGATCGTGAGCAGTAAAGTTCAACACATCACCGCTAGATCTCCTCTACTCTGCCACAGGTTGCTCCATTCTGAACATATGATGGGAGTTTCCTCACATCATTGACTTTTGGCAAATGGTCAGCCAGGGCATTTTGGACACTGCTACAGTTCAATGGATCGTAGATCCCAGGGTTTTACACAGAGATTCCTCCCCAGGCTATACCAATGAGATGTCTGACCTCTTCTCTCCTTGGTTGTGCAAAGTGGAATAGTCTATCTACAGAGGGCCTGGCCCACATAATAGCAATGGATAAACTGACCCTATGAACCTATGACTGAAAGACATGCTTGCTAAATATAAGGGACTCCCTGTGGGGTAAATTAGAAAAACTCCACTTACTAAGTAACTATGAGTGAGCCTATCTGAAAGAAGACTGCTACTAATAATTTGCATGGAAATCAGCTGGTAAGTTTCTCTAAGAATGGGATCAGTGAAGTCATACATCATACAGATAGGTTATTGCAAAATTACCTCCCACTTCTTTCCAAGTTGCTCTAGACTGCTGTCTCTGCACTCCACCTGCAGTTCTTTCTGTTTATTCTAGATTTGGAGTTGATAACCTCTCCTGCTTTCCAGCTGTTTGACTGTTCTCCTGGGGGATCCATTCTTTCCCGCAGTTGAAGTAGAATTAAAAAATATATCTTGGTACTACAAATGCTTTTATTTTTTGATTAAATGTTTTGAAATGAACAATTTTTGTTTTGATTTGTATCACGTGGAAACAAATCC